ATGTTGTTGTTCTTTTTCCTTTTTCTTCTGTGTTCAGTACTTTCTCAAGTGTTTCTTGTAGAGGTCGTCTGGTGGCAGCGTAGGTTCTTAGGGATTGGATATCTGGAAAAGATTTCAATTCTCCCTCACTAATAAAGCTTAGTTTGGGTGGGTAGGTTATTCTTGGTTGAAATTTTTTCTCTTTTAGAACTTTGAAGATAGGGCTCCAGGCTCTCCTAGCCTGAAGGGTTTCTGTGGATAAATCTGCTGCTCTTCTAATTGGTTTTCCCTGGTAGGTAGTCTGGCCTTTTTCTCTTGCTGCCTTTAGGATTTTTTTCTTTTATAGCTACTTTGTTTAGGCGAATTATTATGTGACTGGGAGTTGGTCTTCTCATTTGTTGTCTTGCAGGGGTTCTCTGAATCTCTTGTGTTTGAATTTTTTCATCCTTGATGAGATGAGGGAAGTTTTCTTGAATGACTTCATGAAATGTTTGTTCCAGTGTGGCTTCTGTTTCTCTCTCTGCCTCAGGAAGCCCAGTTACTCTTAGGTTTGGTCTCTTGAAGTGATCATTCATCTATTTCAGGTTTTGTTCTGTCTTTTTGAGGTTCTTTTCTATGCTTTTGACAGTTTGGGTTAGTTCTGTGTTTTGGTCTTCGAGCTCTGAGATTCTTCCTTCTGCTTGACTGATTCTGCTTTCCATGCTTATTAATCTGTTATTCATTTTCACCACAGTATTCTTTACTGCTGTCATTTCTGACATCAGCTCCTTCCTATTTTCCTCTTGTCTCTCCTCAATTTTTTAAATTCTCTCCATTAATGTCCTGATGTCTGGGTTTGTTGCATGTAACCAGTCATTATGGGGGCTCCTCATTGTTTGTGTCCCAGCATCTGTTTTCTCAGTGTCTGATCTCCCTGGGTTCTGTGTGAGACCTATATTCTTGTTTTGGTTTTTCTTCATTTGTGCGGTTTTCCCTCCTCCCTACTTTTTCCTTCCCTCTATGTCACCGTCTTCTTTAATTCTGTTATTTAGGGGTAAAAGGATTGGTTTTACTTATGTTTGTTCAA